GGTTAATTGCTAAATAAACCTTAACCTTTTTGCGTTTGGCAATTTTAACCCAAACTTTGGGTAATTGCAATATAATCTCGACCTCAATATACTTATTGCAAGTCGAACTTAAAACCGGTTGGACCTTCAAAAAACTGGTCGATTTGAAGGCGGTTCGAACAGATCGGAGCTCATATTTATCGGTTCACTCCAGATCTAGGAGGATACTCATCACCGGTAGTTTACATTGACATAGAATTTTCAGCTTTGTGCGTGGATATACATTAAATACGTGGATATTGTAAACTTGCTACGTGGATGGCATAAAAACCCGTGTCAGTGGAAGACTTGGACACAAAATCGATCTACAAATCCGTAAAATCAATCACTCTGCACCCAAATTTGCAATAAGTAAATTGAGGTCGAGATTATATTGCAATTACCCAAAGATTTGGATAAAATTGTCAAACGCAAAAAGATTAAGGTTTATTTAGCAATTAACCCTTTTTATTTTTAATCTTATAAAGATCTCCTATGGATTCTATCAAATAAATATAGATTAGTATGCAATAATCAGCAAATCTTTCACAAAGTTGTTTTCGAGACAAGTTACGAATATCACAACCTAGAAGGACACCACCGAGAAGGCGGAGGATCATTCGTGCATGTTGACACGAGGGAATGTGTCAACCTCTGAAAGACTGCCTTGGAACACATCAACATCTTGTTGGTTTATTTCAATCTACCAGTGAATGCAGTAAAATCATCGGTAGGATGTTCAATGTACGAGCGACTGTAATAAAATCGAGTAGGGTTGAAACCTTCCATCTAGTCTATCGATCGGTTGGCGAAAGCTGCTTCCACGAACTTGGAGATGAATTAGGTACCAGGTTATCTCCAAGTTTATTTTGCTTCGAAATTATTAGTGACGGAATAGGATTTAATGGAATGAATTTCATAACACATTGAACATATAACATGTCTTTTCACAATTTACTCTACAATTCACCAACTCATTCAAAAACTAAAAACACAATTATTACTATATATTATAATAATACATAACACTACTTATTTATTCGTTTATATATTTCTAATTATTAGATTTTCCTCAATTAATGCTATATTTATTTTCACACATAAACTTTAATTTGTATATTTTTATTTTAAATCCTATCCCCAATTTAAAATTTATCTTTTCTTAGAAAATCATTTTTCCACTCTTCTATGTAATTCTAACAACATAAAATATTTTGAAAACATCTTATTAATGTCAACCAAATTAGCCGCCCACTATGCCTAGTTAATCCAAACACAGTATTTTATTTTATTTTATTTTATTTTTTCAAAGTATTTCTAGAAAACGTTATACTCCACTACACAAACAAATTTAGCTTGTTATACTTCTGTCATTTATCACATACATACATATCCTTCAAACCTTGGCCAAATAAAATATAAAAATAAAAATAGAACACTTTTTTCAATCCTCACATTTTTTTTATTTTTTTTTGTCCGACGCCTGAAAAATGAGCTGGTGGTGGGCTGGAGCAATCGGCGCGGCCAAGGTAAACATCATTTTCCGATCACTATCAATTCGATTTTTATTTCTTTTTCCCCCTTCATACACCCGCGTCGATCTCACGCGCACTCGATCCCCAACAGAAGAAGCTCGGCGACGACGATGCGCCCCCGAGGCACGAGAGCGTGGCCCTGATCGTCGGCGTCACCGGAATCGTCGGCAACAGCCTGGCCGAGATCCTCCCCCTCTCCGACACCCCCGGCGGCCCCTGGAAGGTCTACGGCGTCGCCCGCCGCCCCCGCCCCGCCTGGAACGACGACAACCCGATAACCTACGTCCGGTGCGACATCTCCGACCAGGAGGACGTCCGGGCCAAGCTCTCCCCCCTCTCCGACGTCACCCACGTCTTCTACGCCACCTGGGCGAACAGATCCACCGAGGCCGAAAACTGCGAAATCAACGGCAAGATGCTCCGCAACGTGCTCGACGTCGTAATCCCCAATTGCCCCGATCTGAAGCACATCTGCCTGCAGACAGGCCGGAAGCATTACATCGGCCCATTCGAGGCCTTCGGAAAAATCAAAACCCTAGATCCGCCGTACAGCGAGGATATGCCCCGTTTGGATTGCAAAAATTTCTACTACACACAGGAGGATATCCTGTTTGAGGCTGTGGAGAAGAAAGAAGGCCTGACCTGGTCAGTTCACCGGCCCGGAAACATATTCGGCTTCTCCCCTTACAGCTTGATGAATTTAGTCGGTACCCTTTGTGTTTACGCAGCTATTTGCAAGCATGAGGGTAAGGTTATGAAGTTCCCTGGCTCTAAGGCTGCCTGGGATGGATATTCGGATTGCTCGGATGCAGATTTGATTGCCGAGCACCAGATTTGGGCAGCAGTCGATGCCTATGCGAAAAACGAGGCGTTTAACGTAAGCAATGGGGATGTTTTCAAATGGAAGCACTTCTGGAAAGTTCTGGCCGAGCAGTTTGGGGTCGAGTGTGGGGAGTATGAGGAAGGTGAAAGTTTGAAGCTTGAGGAGTTTATGAGAGATAAAGGGCCCGTTTGGGATGAGATTGTGAGGGAGAACGGGCTGAGCCCGACTAGGCTAGAGGATGTTGGGAATTGGTGGTTTGTTGATCTCATATTGGGGAGTGAGTGTCCTTTGGACACGATGAACAAGAGTAAGGAGCATGGTTTTCTGGGATTTAGGAATTCCAAGAATTCGTTTGTGTCGTGGATTGATAAGGCGAAAGCTTACAAGATTGTGCCTTGAGTTTTAGGGGGTTCCTGTTGATGTTGAACTTGGTGAATGTTTGAGTGAGTATACTTTCTTATGTGTTGATGTGCATTATGCAACTTTTTTTTTGCCTTCTCTTTTCTTTTGTTTCTATGAGTGGTGATGGTTAGAGGAAATGAATAAGGGTAACAAATGATATGTATCTTTCATATGGATTTTGTGATCATTACTTATGCATCAAAGATTTTAAGCTTTGTGGGTTGTGTACTTGTTTGTTGTCTCCTAGTTTAGATCTTACATCTTAATCTGCTTGATAGAAAGACGCTACAATGAGTAATGCTAAGGAGCCAACAGAAGGAGCCAACTGTTGGCTCCGCAATAGAATAGCTCCATGTGGGGCTGTCCCACATTGGAGCCAACATGGAACTGTCCCACATTGGAGCCTGTTGGCTCCGTAACGGAACCAACAATTGGTTCCTTAGCATTATTGGTATGTTTAAATATCAGTGAATGATTGAATTTAGCAACTATTATGTAGTATGCATCACAATTTAGAGATTATGAAAAAATAAAATCCAAACAAACTGATCATTGTTCAACAACATCCATTGGTGGAAATTAAAAACCATCATAAAAGAACAAAAAGAATAGTATGTATTCTTAGTTGATGTTCAGAGCCTAGTATACTTCAAAACAAGCTCTCCCTATAACCAAACCCCTTTTACTACTATAATTATTATCTACACCAAACCTAGTAGTAGGCAAAGATAAAAACTTTATCTACAGCCCACATTAATTTTATACTTTCAAGATGTTAGCAAAGTTCATCGTTGGGGGAAAATCCTATCGCCCGAATGCTCAACGACTTCATCGGCATTATAGGAGTATATGTCGACCGGGGGAGTGAAACTGCCGATAGCACTTTGCTTGCCATTAGAATCGACCGAGGTTTTGTGATTGTCCAAGTACATCACGATAACAGTGATGTCATCATGAAAGTGCCGTCTGATTCCCTTCTCAATTTTTTTGATGTCTTTATACCTCACTTCCCTCTTCTTCGCGGCTTCCTCGATAGCAGCTGCCACTAATCTCTTGGCTATTCCCTGCAAGAAATGCAGCATAAGTACATAAATCACTGGTCGGCTTACCACTGGGTTTAGTTTATCTCTAATATGGCTAAGAAAAATTAAAAAAAAAAAAAAAAAAAAAAAAAAAAAAAAGGATAGACAAAAACGGACGTAAAATCCAATTTTGTTTTAATATAAAGCAGCAATGTTCCAATTTTGAACAGCATACAAAGATAATGTGACGTATCCTTACAGCTCTTGGGTGCTTTGACACTATCTGAATGGCTGCATCATCACTAAGATGCTCCCAAAGACCGTCAGACGCGAAAATTACGAACAAATCATGCGGTCTCAGCTTTCTAGTCACGATGGAAGGCTCGGAGGACAAAACTGGTCGCTTCATGGGAATATAATTTGCATATTGTTGGAAAATTGGATCTCGATGGAACTCGGGTTTCTTTAAATAAATGTCGCCAATTGATCTGGATACCTGAAGAGAAAACAAAGAGAAGGATTAGGGAGTTTATTTTCAATAACAATTGATAGAAAGTTAATAAAACAAATGTTACGGAAGAAAAAGAACCAAGGAAAAATAAGTCGGACAAACTCTTCATCTCACCGGGCAAAACCACGAACACCGCTAAAACATATGAAAAGGAAGAAACTGGATCCTAGAAGTAGTACTATTATGGCCTTTAGGTTCTTCATGTGGGCCAAATTTAAAGTGGGAAAACACTTCTACCAGAGAATCACAACACTTTGCATGGTAAGATCTTCACACATACATCTCATGTCCCGGAAGGCAGGGTTACTTTGACTTCAGCTACATGAGACGGGCAAGAGGCAAAGCATGTGATTCCTGGAAGAATAACGAATTGACGAGTACCCTAAAATAAAATGTTAGAAAAAAAAAAAAAAAAATCAGAAAGGGGCAGAAATTCGGTTGTTCACTTAGCAGATGCCTGCCCCGCACCCTAAATTTCTCAATCAATCTACATATTCCACATCAAGATTACATTGAATGATCACAGAACAAATCAAGAAATGGGGTCCCAAACCTAAAACCTTCGACCTCAGTAACTCGATTCAGAGTAAATACGAAATATATATATGCGCACAGTCCAATTAAGAAAGCTTAAAATGTCATAATACTTCTAATTCAATAAAAACATAGATTAACTAAGTACCTGGATAATTCCTTTGATTCTCCAGACCCCTCTGCAATAAACCACAACAGGTTTGTCGTCTGGATGGAGAGCTTCAACCTCCATTCTCACCTTCTCGCACGAGACATTATGGTCTGTGGACAACCTTTCTGCCACCAACTTCTTCTCACCATCAAAACCCTTTCTGCCGAGAACAGCCCTCGAGTCTCCTAAGTTGGCCACATACAATTCACCACCCGAAATTGCACCTACCAAGCAACAGGACCCAACCGAAGCTATTTGTGGTTTGACGGGTAGTGATCTCTTCACTAAGTGAGTGAAATCCTCTTCTGTGGCATTGAATGCCTTTTTTATAACTTCTGCTGACAACCCTCCATGTTCTGTGGAAAATTCTACACAAAAAAATAGCCGATAACAAAATTAAGAATGACTAGAGATATTTCTTATGCAGAGTAAACTACACAAAAAGCAATCTTTACATCACAACTTTGAAAAACATATCACTTTAAATCCGAATTGCTCCTTTGAAGCAAGTAATAGTCACACACACACACACACACACACACACACATACAAACTACTCTACCAATCGCCTCTCAACAGCAAGCCAAAATCAGCAAAAATCAACAAACCCAAAAACCAAAATTAGGGGCGCCCAAAAATAAAATATTTACTGTGGAGGTAAGGGAAGAGGTGGCGATTGACAAATCGGGAGGCCTCAGGCCCGCCGTGGCCGTCGTAAACTCCGACGTAGGTGGCGGACGGCGACGTGAAGACCTGGCTCTGATCCTCGAGGCTCGAATTCGCCTGCACGACCGCGATCGAGAATTCACCGGTGGTGTGCGGCTTCAAGTCCATGTGCCAGAGCAAGCCATCGCCGTTCCTCCGGCCCAAACACCGAAAACAGCACGATCTCAGCATCCTCTTAAACACCTCTCTCGACCTCTCTTCACCTGGATTATCTTTAACCCTTTTTCCGTCAAAAGATTTAGCAATCAATTTTCAGATTTCAGTGCGTGATTACTGTACAGGATTTTTTTATTTTTTTTTTTATT